TGCTGCGTTGAGGGGCTGAAGCTGAAGGTGACGTGTGTTCACAGCAGGCAGACAAAATAAAAACTCATAGAAATGGTTTTCTGGTTCACAGTTTCACAAATGCCTTCAGCTCTGATTTGAGACTTTTAAATAAATGACCCATTGCAGGCTGCACAGACTTCTCAAATTACAGAGAAATTTTAAGGAATAATAAAGTGTCTGTGCATATTGTGGCTCCTGGGGTTTTAAAAGATTAGCGCAGACTTCTGTTTATTTTGTTGGGCATCTTGATTCGACTCTTGGGAAGTATGGATCAAGGCAATGATCGTAGCTGTTTTAATAAGCTGCCTCAAAAGCAGGGAAAGTCTTTCTCTTCTTCCATTCCTGTTCCATCTTGCATACAACAGCCACTAATATCACTAATATCACATGGTCTCCCATTCCATCCAGCAGTTTCTTGAGTGTTTGTCTCTGCTTTTTTGGAAAAGGTCTCCAAATTTAATTTCAGCTGCTGATCTTGTTCCCTACCCCAGCCCCCATCTACATTATTAAAGACACACCCGGAGAATCGTTACAGACTTGTATTTGCCCCACTGGCTTCCCACTACAGAGGCAGGAGGTAACACCTGAAAATGTTTTACTGCCTCCAAATACTCTCCGATCTCCGTAAGTGAGGAATTCCAAAAGGAAAATTCAAAAATGCATCAACATTAAAACAGAACTATTGATATTCCATCTCTGCAAATCAGTCTTTCTGGGCACTCATCCAGGGTAATAAGGCTGCAGGCAGCTTTTTAAAGCAAAAAAACAAAAAACAAACAAACAAACAAAAAGCAGCTAAGAAAGCATCGCTCAGCCTCAGCTGATGGAATTATCGCCGGGCACGTGCCAGCCGCCTCCACGGAGGGTCAGGGGATCCAAGGGGGAGGCCATAGCGTGCGCAGCCAGGACCGGCTTAAGGGAGGTCCTCGTCCCGGGACAAGGGAACGCTGTTTTGCCGGAGCCACGATGGAAACGTGCACACTGACACGCTGCTGCGGTGTTTTCAGTCTTCCAGCTATTAATACACATTTAAAGATGAATGTTAATAAATATAAATGCGTTGTTTACACTGAGTTCTCTTGCCTTAGGGCAAATGTGAAACATGGATCTGTGGCACTGCAGGGTGTCAGCAGAGGCAGTGTCTTGTTTCAGGGAGGTATTCAGATGTATCCACCAGATTGCTGGGTTTCCTTGCCTTGCTTAGTGTTAGTTATAACATCCTCTGTGCCCATGTACTTTTAATTTCCCTCGATAACTGGCTGCCGCCACAAAATATCTCCAGTTGCTGCTGCTATTCGAACATTTAAATGACATAGCACAGTCAAACAAACCATTTGTGCTGACGAGGATTTTGCATCAGTACACATCAGCTCGCATCAGTTGAGCTGTCAGCCTTCAACAGAAGAGAAGAGCCAGTCAACAACATCCATCTCCCTTACACTTTATTTCAAATGCGTCTCTCTAGGACATCCATCCAGTCTCTTCTCTCTTTTAGAGAGGCTGACAGAAATCAGATTAGTGGGAAACTCTCAGAGGAGTGAAATTCATCCTGTGCTGACAGCGCCAAAGCCCACGACAAGATCCCTGTCAGAGCCCACCCAAGGCAGAGGGCGTCCTGGGGGCTCTGGCCTCAGAGCGGTGTCAGCGCTGACTTGCTTGATAGCATCTGCTATATAAGTATGTGTTTATATTATATTAAAGAACAACTGACATGAACTGTATTTATAGATATATATCAATAAAATAAAGAGTGTGCATATATTTAATACCCTTCAGACTGGTATTTGAAAGATTCCTCTCTCAAGCGTCAAATCTTTCAAGTAAATCACAGAATCGTGAAAAGATCAAGACTGAATATTAATAAAGGGCTGCAACAAGAAGGCTTTTCAAGCTTCCAGATTAGCAGTGTTAGCACTGTGGCCATATTTGAAAGCTCACCCTGTATTTTTTGACTGTATTCAGTCAGTGCCTCACCACAATATTCTCCGGATCTCTTTTAAGGAAAGGCAGACTAGCAATGGAGTAAGAAGACCAGATAGATTGTCCATGGAAAGTGTAGCACTTAATAAGATAAGCATGTGTTATATAGCCCTGAGTGATTAATAATTCAGGAAAATATCTGTGTGTCTTTGCAATAAACTTATGGAAGAGCCATTGGCCATAAATCAAGTCCACAGCTTAATAGTGCACATTTTTAAAATCCATGATCTCTCAGAGTTTCCATGATCTCTCCTAGGCACCCCATGATTGACAAGGATAGCGTGGTCCTCAAACTGTTTGCGTAAATACATCAGTGTATTTGAAAAATGATCTGAAATCCAAAGTACAAAGAGACAGTCCTGATACCTAGCGCAGCATGTATCTCACCTATACTGTAAAGCATAACATAAATGTTATAACATAAAAGCATAAAAGCATAAACATAACTACCATCATGTGTATGGCCCTTTCTGCACTCATTCAATTGAATCCTGCTAAATGGAATTAGGAAGAACCAGCTAGAACAGATAATATATTTATTCCCTCCTCCTGGGACGGTGTCCTGATGGAAGAGCTCCTACTAGCTTGCTGCCATCTACTAATACGGGATCACCAAAGCTGCTCAGTGTTAAAACTGCAAGGTTTTCATATCATACTTGTGATTCACCCGATTATGTTAAATATGGCAACTTATTGTGTATTCTCTCCTGATGCTGCATGTCATCTGTGTGGTTCTGCAGAACATGAGAATAATTTATTTGTTTCAGCTACAGGACTGCTTTTCTTTTTTTTCTTTTTCCACTTCAATGGATGCCACAACTTACTGAACTAACACCCATCAGCAGTAACATAAGAAACTGGGGAGGATTCTTAGCTGTAGAAATTTGGTAGTGCTCAGAGAAGTCAACATTTTTTTTCCCAACTTCAAGACATCTTAAATACCTGCTACAATAATTAATTACTAAAAATCGTCTCAGAAATTGCTAGAACCAACCCATAATGTGCAGAACAAATCTACATTTTTTTTCTTATTTCCTTTTTTTCTTATTTCATTTCAGTGCCCCCTTCAAGACTGTTACATCTTTCCTTGAAGAAACTGCTAACGTTCTTCCAGTGATCCTGCTTTATGTTTCCCTGCTTACACAGGATCCAATTTCCCTGCTTACACAGGATCCAATAGACAACTGCTCCAACTTTCAGCACCTGAGGTTCAGTGCAGGTGTCCCCATCCCCACACACTCCTCAGTGCCTCACTGAGGTGCCCTCCTCTGCCTGTAAATGCTGTGAGCACTGGGGAGGCATAAACGAGTAAAGCAGGGGTGGACCTGTGCATGTCTGCAAAATGACCAAAGAACGCAGAACAAAATAGCTTGAACAATGTGTTTTAACCTCTTGAACTTTTATGGCTAGTATTTTTCTATTTTTCTCATTTCTGAGATTATGTTACAGTATGAAGACTTACTGAAAAATAGTGAGTATTCATTTGCTAATTGAAGTGTCATTCACAGCAGCTGAAAAATACTAAAAGACGGGACAGGGAGAAGGAGGAAATGTTTGTCTGTATTTACCTACACACGCTTGTATGTGTGCAGCTATAGAAGCTGCGAACAGAAACAAGAGCTATATCAACAAGTTTGGGAGGAACTGACATCAGGTGAAAAAGAGATTTGTCACAATGCAAAAGGAGTTCCAGCAAATTTAGCTTTTCACGTGCAGTGAAGAAATCAAATAAAAAAAGGTATCCCTAAATAGAAAGCATGTTCTGTGGGGGAAAACACTGCTGAACTGAGCACTGTTAATCTTTTCTGTTTTTAAGTCAGGGGTGGACAGGCCAAAGATGTCTGGCAGCGTGCAGTTACGAAGCATTTGTTCTCATCTCAAGAAGAGGATGCACTTTATGCTATTTAAATGCCTAGGGACATTGTTTGACTTTAAAATGTTTACTCTGCTGCCTGTCTACGTTCACTAGGCAGGAATACAAGAATTCCCCGTGGATTTGCTTGAGCTGATCTACTTCTTTTCTGCACCAGTGAAGCTGAGTTGTGTACAGATGTGCTCTCCCCTTCCTTCTGAGTCTTGGATGTCTAAAAAAAAAGAGATGTTACGATTCTTTGTTTGACCAAACGAAGTCAGAATAACCAGAAGAATTTTCTGTCTCAAGAGCGGGAGGAAATTTTATACAGATTTCATGAAACCTCCCCTAGAGATGACACTTCCTTAACGAACAGAAGGATACCGTTTTTCTGCTTTAGTTATATACAAAATATTTTCGCTTTCCAAGAAACCAGAAAATTGTTTTAACTATTACTTCAGATGCTTTATTTCTACAGATGTTTGAAAACTGCACTTGCACTGTCCTTGGTCATCTCGGCAGTCCTGTTATTTTTCATTGTAACTTCAGTAGCTGGTGGCAGGACACCCGGTGAATTGATAGTTCCAGCTGTAATTGCCGATCTCAAGTACAGGAGCAGAGTCCTCTCTGCAGCTCCCCTCTCTGCAGCTCCTCACTAGGTTTTTGCATGAAGGAAGCTGGTTTCAAATGTATCCAAGGCCTGAATGTATCAAACTATTTTGGAAATTCTGTTAAGAAGGGGGGAAATAATTCATTTTGAAAGGTGCCCATGCTTTGTACACATGTCCATACATAAAGATTGGGTGGTTTCGTGTTTGATTATGTCATCATTCCTTATCTTTCACAAGGACAAGTAACCTTTGTAAGGGTTCACAGCATACTGATGTGAAGAGTCTTTGCATAAAGCAGTACCCAATATGCTAGGACATAACTAAAAACCATGACAGCTTAGAATGTGATTTCCTGATCAGTTTCAATAAAGTCCATACTAAATGCAGTATCCTGCCCTCAGGCATGTTTCCCCATTCACTTTCTTGTGTCAATGTCAGAATTTGAGGGGCTGTGTGGCCAGCCAGATGGGGGAGCTAATAACACTAATAATTTATTTTGACATCTAATAATTTATTTTGTTTTGACAGAAGTAGTTTTCGCCTGGATCAGCTCTCTGGCCAGCCCACCACTGTTGCATCCAAATCACAAGCCAGCCGCAAGGGTAAGATGCTAGACTGAACACGAGCATTAAAGGTTTATTTCTCTTCAATGGCAGTATGTAGACGTGCAGCACTGCGGGGTATCACAGCGAGCAGTTCTACATACCCGTCCCGAAGCAGTGGCACCCACGCAACCAGTGTTTTCTGTTACAGCCTGAAACACGGAACATAAATACGCCTCCACCCGTGCCATTGGCTGTGGGAAGTTTGCATGGATTGCTTCCAGATCCGTGTCAGGAGTTGGCCCTGGGTGTTTATAGCCCTGAGGCTGCTGATATCACCCCGCGCG